GGCTGCATCCAAGCACGATGAGAGCTGCTCAGATCCCGAGCGCCGCGGCCTGGGGACGAGCACTGTGAGACGCAGCAGCAGGAGCCGGCGCAGCAGAAGACACACGCGTCAGCGGAGTCCTCGTCACCTTCGGCAGGCTTCGGTTGCACCCCGACGGGATTCTTTACGTGGTGAAAAATTCCAGCGGGCACTCGGCAGCCTTACAGCACTGCAGTCAGCGGCACCGTGCAAAGCTTGCGCTACAGTTTCACCAGCTGCCTGGTTTTACGGTACATTTCCGAGGAGAAGTCAATGTTTGTGTTTTAAAAGAAAAAAAGGCAAGGCCACTGTTTGTTTTGCTGCTGACCCCAGTGGTTTTCATATCAAACCAGCTTTAAGCAGTGCGTATAAAGTTCAGAAAGCTTCTACAGAATATGGCCAAGGGGTTTGGCTTTTTGGATTCTGAGCAAGAATTTCCAGCGGTACGGCCCGCAGCACCGCAGTCAGAATCACAGAATCACAGAATAGTAGGGGTTGGAAGGGACCTCTGTGGGTCATCTAGTCCAACCCCCCTGCCGAAGCAGGGTCACCCAGAGCAGGCTGCACAGGACCGCGGCCAGGCGGGGCTGGGATATATCTCCAGAGAAGGAGACTCCACAACCTCCCTGGGCAGCCTGTTCCAGTGCTCCGTCACCCTCAGAGGGAAGAAGTTCCTCCTCATGTTCAGACGGAACTTCCTGTGCCTCAGTTTGTGCCCATTGCCCCTTGTCCTGTCACTGGGCACCACTGAAAAGAGCTTGGCCCCATCCTCCTGACACCCACCCTGCAGATATTTGTAGGCATTTATAAGGTCCCCTTGCAGCCTTCTCTTCTTCAGGCTGAACAAGCTCGCATCCGTCCGAGCGTGCTGCAGCCCCGCAGCACCGCTTTTGATGAACGCGACGAGCAGCCGTCCAGTAAACGGGTACGAGTTCAGGCTTTTCCCTGGTCCTGCACTGTTCTAACATGTCCTCTGCTACAAAACCCTCCACACAGGCGCCAAAACACAGCCTTCAAAAGGAAGAAAAAAAAAAAACCAAACCCCAACCCCGAACCCCCACCAGCAAACCCAGGCGGTGCCTCTGCCAGCAGCAGCCTGCCTTCAGGCCGGGGCACGGACCTCCAGCCCTGGAGCCCGAAATCGGAGCCTGCTCTCGTGCCACTGCGCGGGAAAGGCACCGCCCGGCCCCGCGGCGGTCTCGGGGTGGGAGAAACGAGGCGTGAAGGGAGAGGAACCCAAGGGGAGGACGAGGGATAAAAGGCAGATTCATACTTCTAGGAACTATATCCTCTATTTCACAGGAGCAGAGCAGATTATTTAAGCCCTTAGCTCAGAATCCAAATCATCACTAAAGAGCAGAATAAAGCACATATTTCTGCCAGCATATTTCCACGGCCAACATCTTCCAAGTCAGTGTAACACCGGCATTTATCAGAACCCGAAACAAATTTAGTAATTTCCCCCACCTTAAGGACATAATCTCTAGGTAAAC